AGATGGGATTTTGGTTAGTGGAAATTTTAACCACATGGACCGGAAGCTCCAGTTGTATGACGGAGAGAAGGTACACGTTAAGGAAGACGATGTGTATGCTGTGTTTGGGTTGCCTCGTGGAGTGGTTGAGATTAAGAATAAACAAAAGAGAGTTACATCTATCCTGCTGGATGAGTGGATTGCACTATTCGGCGTCAGAAAACCGTCGAACATTACGACGTCGAAGGTGTTGGATAAAAGGAACGAATGTGTGGATGGTGGCGACTGGTTCAGGCGTCATTTCATCGTCCTCATGGTGACCTGCTTATTTGAGAGTTGTCTAAACGGAATGGCGAATTTTCGTTTAGTCCACATGCTGGACGATTTATCCGTGGTTAGCAAGATGAATTGGTGCGCATACATGATCCGATGTTTAGTTGACACGAAGCTGAGGGATTCAATTGGTACACAAAAGAATTATGTAGGGCCTCTGTTGTTCTTGACGGTCAGTGGACGTGCTTCTATTTTATTCCTTTTGTTTCATTGTTCCCCTCCCCCTCCGTTTTCCATATTTGTTTCTGTGTTTTACGTGTTTGTATGCAGTCGTGCCAATATATTTTTTGTATGTTTGTTTGTGTTTGAGACAGCTATTCTGCGTAGACAAGGTTGTACTGTCGGTGAGATCGGTCCCACGAACGTTCCCTGTATTCAAATCATGGAGCATCGAGGCTTTAAGAGCTAGAGAACGCGACGAGATTTCTTCAGGAGCTTTTGGTAGAGGGTTCATGGATGTAGATTTCTGTATGATTGTCGATAATCGCCGGCTGGATAAAGTTGGACAGAAACACGATGGCGATGTTGCTAGTGTCACTGAGGACCGCGACTTACAGGTCGACCGTGATTTACAATCTACTATCTGTTTGATTTTTTTTAAAAAAAAATATATATATATATATATGTATCGGATGTATTAGCTTTTGATGTGATATGCTTACATGTCGTTTTTTTTTTGTTTGTCTTTTATTTTTTCTCCGATTGCATTCCCTTTTTATACACAATTGACCTGTTTTGTTTTTTTTTCCCCACAGTAATTGTTTTATAAAGTATATAATGTGCGTCTTTTTATTTTCAAATATGCGTTGTGAGATTCTTAAATGTGCACAATCAGACATATGCAGATGGCGGTTTAATATGTGATTTTCGTATTTTGTACGAAGGTTACTATTTGTTTTCATATTGAAATGTCCATTATTTTTTGTTGTTTAATATTTGTTATGTCCACAGATTGAATATTGTGCATTGTCCTTGCATGTTTGTTCCATCTGACAGAGTTAGTGGGTACGAATGTTACAATTGTTTTTATATTGAAAGGCCATTCTACACTGTTACCCATCTTTTGTGTCTTTCGATACTTGTTATTGTTAACTTCTTGTGTCATTTTGTGTCTTTCGATACTTGTTATTGTTAACTTCTTGAGTCGGATGTCTTAATTCCCCTATTTTTGTAATTCTAGAATAAAGAGTGCATTATATGATGTTCATCTGTGCATTACAATTAACATAAGTGTGCATTAACATATGTTGATTTAATATGTACTTTGACAGGCGTATGTTCAGGAGTTTGCATCTAAAACTCGACTTCTTGCCACTACGGGAATTCAAATATTACAATTGGTCGAAAAGGCACCACAAGTTCTTTTGGGAGATGGGAACTTCGCGAAAATGCATGATGCGGCTCAGAAGATTCTTGGTGTGCATAGTGAGGTGCCACGTGTTAAACCCTACCATCCCGGTCCAAGTCAACATCGCGACACATGTACAGAAAACAACGACGTATCGAAGGACTACGAGAAGGGCGTCGCATCACAACTAGCTGATGACGTGTTCTGGAATGATCCTGACACATTAGTGATGATAGATGAGATTATGAAAGCGGTTGAAGAGCGGGATCACTTCATGAGAATGCAATGTGACGTCCCTAGCTTCAGCTTGGGCTTATCTTCAGACGACGATGCTGGCGATGTTGCTGAAAGTCAACATACGAGCGACAATGGATTTAAACAGCCGGGTAGGATGCAACCTGAAGTTGACGTGCAAAAAGGTACGTGAATCAAACTGTGATTACATAAATGTAGTTGTCTTGTTTGTTCCAGGTGTGTCTGGTTTATATACATATATATATATATATATATATATATTTCTATATTGGTTGCGTTGTTTGAATTGTTTGTTCAAATATGAAGTGGTCCTCGATTCGTCTGATAAGACGACTAGGACAATTGACAAGACACCGACTATTGAAGTTTCTGGCTTGGTCCCTGATCAGTGCGTTACTACAGGTATATCAGTGTAATACGTGGCACTTTTTATGTAATAATTGTAGTTATTGATATTGTGGTCATGCTGATTCACACACATGCTGATTTTTGTTTCAGAAGAGACTGGAGAGGCTGGTGATGCTGACAGGTCACCGAGGCCGAAAAGGCATGTCAATGAAACAAGTGCAGCTAAGTCTCCTTATATCGAGAGGACAATTGACGTGAATAAGAAATTCGACGGACACGAGAGAACAATCGCGAAGGTGGACATTAAAGAATGATGTCAATGATGAGTATGTTGTCTTTTTTTTTCTCCCATTACAGCATATTAAATTTTTGGGTGATTTTATAATTATGTTTGTTTGTGTATTATGCTAAGCTTAATTCCTACGAATTTTTTTTTATCACGAATGCATGGTTACACATGCGTTCAGCGGCATCATCCTTTTTCGACAGTCCAAATATTCCGTGAAGAAGCACAAAGTTTCATGTTTGCTTCCAAATCTCCCCATTTCAAAAGAAGTGTTGGACGTGTGGTCGTGCATTTTGAACTATAATGAGAAGTTGAAAAGTCGTGGCTCACCGTCATGCTTTTATGCATATACATCTCCATGCGATGAGGTATGTTATTGTTCATTAGCATAGTATCTTAAATGTTTTTTCATTCGTGAACATGACATGTTTGTTTTGTACTTTTGGCATGGTCATTTACAGTTATTTTATGTCGGTAAACGGAGGAAAGACTCGATTTATAAGAAGTTCGCTCAAACATTAGATTCCGAAATCGCACAAATGTCCAACTACAAATTAAACAAGATATAGATGGTAAGTGAACACTTGTTAACACTAGTTATATTTATTTTGTGTGTTTGTGTGTGTGTGTGTGTGTTCTGTTCGTTTCTTTTTTTTTTAGTTTTTTTCTACCTAATTTACGGACGATATGTGTTGTGAGACTAATTAATAGAATTTTTTTTATAGATTAATGCGTGCGCTTAATTTTTTTATTTTTTTTATTATATTTACGTCTACAGTTTTTGTTTCCTGTTCACTCCGTGGCTTTATCAGGCTTATTGTGCATGGCGCTGGATTTGCTGAAGCTCGGTATTTTGAATAGCGCTTGTTCTTCTATCGATGACGGTGTGAAGAAAGTGCTCATGTCTCGTGTCATGCTGTTGGTAAGGCTATTAAAACTACTTACTATCGGTGCATTTACATTAGTTCGATTATTGTGCTATTAACAATATTTTCATTGTTTTCCCCGCAGAAGCAGTCGCTTTCAAAGTATCTAGG